CTCAAAAATGTTGATGGTGTGAATTTGTTGGATGTGGAGAAACTTTTGACTGCATTTCAACAATTCTATCGTGAACATTCTGAACATTGGCTTAAAGGTATGTTGTACCGAGAAGCTGGACCACAACTTTTGTTACAAGCATACTTGCAACGTGTGGTGAATGGTGGCGGTTGGATTGAGCGAGAATACGGCTTGGGAAAAGGCAGAACGGATTTATTTGTTATTTGGCCTGTGGGACCTGAACCTAAGCAACGCATTGTGATTGAAGTAAAAGTGAAGCGAGAGAAGGACAGTTTGCAAGCCACAATAAAAAAGGGATTAGAACAAACGCGAGCCTACATGGATCGTTGCAAAGCGACGCACGGGCATCTTGTCGTCTTTGACCCGAATCCCAAAAAACGCTGGGGTCAAAAAATTTACAAGAAGAAATTGACGAAAATTATTACGCTCTGGGGAAGCTAACGACATTTAAAATAAACGAGGAAAACCATGCTTAAAGAACGTTTTTTCAACAATGCTGGGGCTCAAATTTTGAGCGACAATTACACCATTGACCCATTGCGAAGAATTCATTTGAAAGAAATAGAGGAATTGATTGACCAAAAACGATATTTTGTTTTGCACGCTCCACGCCAAACGGGTAAGACAACATGTATGTATGCTCTCATGCGACACTTCAACGCGGGAACAAAATACAGAGCGCTGTATGTAAACATTGAAGCAGCTCAGGCGTTGTGTGAGGATGTAGAAGGTGTCTTGCATTCCATAGTTAGCGTTTTTTGCTATGTTGCTGAATTGCATTTCGGGGATAACAGCGGAGGGTCTCTGATTCAAGAAATCATCAAAGAGGACAAATGGAAAGACGCTTTACGATTGACCATTGCTCATTATTCTAAAAACGACCACGCCCAACCCGACAATCCTCGTCCGCTCATCTTGATGATTGATGAAATTGATGCTTTGATTGGAGATTCACTTATTAGTGTGCTTCGTCAAATTCGTGCAGGTTACAACGACAAACCTCATGCCTTTCCGCAAAGCATTATTCTTTGCGGAGTGCGAGACGTTCGCGATTATAGGATTCATTCCAGCAGAACCAAAGAAATCATCACGGGTGGCAGCGCTTTCAACATCAAAGCGGATTCTATTCGGTTGGGAAATTTTTCCAAAGAAGAAGTCAATGAACTTTACCAACAACACACCGACGAAACGGGACAAGTCTTTACAGAAGAAGCCCGAGAGTTGGCTTGGGAATATACTAAAGGACAACCTTGGCTCGTCAATGCGCTTGCGTACGAAATTACTTTTAGAATGAAAGACATGCGAGACCGCACTAAACCCATTACAGGTGAAATCATGCGACAAGCCAAAGAAAGAATGGTCGTTTCTAGAGCCACACACATCGACCAATTAGCAGATAAACTTGAAGAACCAAGGGTGTTCAATGTGATTTTTCCAATCGTTAATGGTTCTGAAAATTTAGATAATATTCCTGGTGATGACATCAATTACTGCATTGATTTAGGATTGATTACCAAAACAGAAATCAGCAATCAATATGAAATTTCTAACGACATTTACCGAGAAGTCATTCCGAGAGAACTCACTTACGTAGCCCAAATTAGCTTTTCAACCACTCACGAACCTCAAGCGTGGTATCTCAAAAATGTTGATGGTGTGAATTTGTTGGACGTGGAGAAACTTTTGACTGCATTTCAACAATTCTATCGTGAACATTCTGAACATTGGCTTAAAGGTATGTTGTACCGAGAAGCTGGACCACAACTTTTGTTACAAGCATACTTGCAACGTGTGGTGAATGGTGGCGGCTGGATTGAGCGAGAATACGGCTTGGGAAAAGGCAGAACGGATTTGTTTGTGATTTGGCCTGTGGGACCGGAACCTAAGCAACGCATTGTGATTGAAGTAAAAGTAAAGCGAGAGAAGGACAGTTTGCAAGCCACTGTAAAAAAAGGATTAGAACAAACGCAAGCCTATATGGATCGTTGCAAAGCGACGCACGGGCATCTTGTCGTCTTTGACCCGAATCCCAAAAAACGCTGGAGTCAAAAAATATACAAGAAGAAATTGACGAAAATTATTACGCTTTGGGGAAGCTAAGCAATGGTTTGAGTTAGATGTCTGAATTATGATTTGTAGGATTAAAAGATGAGCAGGATTGTTTTTGATCAAGACCGACTGTCTCTGTGCCTGCCCGTAATGCTGGTGGGTAACGCAACAGACCAAACGAGCGTGTTTGGTCTTTTCTTTGTAGTAATTCAAAGTGGAATTGGAGCAATAACAGGTGTTAATGTAGCAATGTCGATTGATAATGGAGTAATTGTCATTGACAAAGGAGTAATGTACGCTTACAATGAGGCATTTTAGGTGAATTTTAGCAAGGAGACGCAGGCAGAGTTTCTGCATTTAGTGGGTCAGGCTGTGCGTGGGTTTAATGAGTAAGAATAAATCACACTAATTTTGCTTGGATATTCCAACCTAACATTTTATCTTTGCACTAATTCATCAGGGGTTGATGAACAAAACTAAACTCTAAATAAAAGGAGAATTTTATGACAAACTTATTTTCATATATGGCAAACGTAGGTTCTTATTCTATTAACAGAGAACAGAGAACAGAGAACAGAGAACAGAGAACAGAGAACAGAGAACAGAGAACAGAGAACAGAGAACAGAGAACAGAGAACAGAGAACAGAGAACAGAGAACAGAGAACAGAGAACAGAGAACAGAGAACAGAGAACAGAGAACAGAGAACAGAGAACAGAAAGGGCGCGCGACTTAAATATCTAACACTCTTTCTTCTTTCCCTTACTTTCTTCGCAGGCGAATGCGCCGCACCTGAACCAACTAAGTACACAATCACCTTTAACAGCAACGGCGGATCTAATGTTGAAAACATCACCGTAACAAGCGGCAACAAAGCCACGAAACCAACTGATCCAACTCGAGCTAATTACTTGTTTGTAGGTTGGTACAAAGAAACGGAATTAAAAACCTCATTTAACTTTGATACAGAAACTATTACCGCAAACATTACGCTGTATGCGAAGTGGACGGCAATAACTTACACGGTAACCTTGAATGCAAATGGAGGAACACCAGATGTTGCAAAAAAAATTTCTGTTACGTACGAAGGCACTGTTTCTGTGAACTCCGCAGAACTTCCTACCCGTGCTAAACACACGCTCGTAATTTGGAACACTAAAGCAGACGGAAGAGGCACACCATTTATTTTTGGTACAACGAAAGTAACATCAGACATAACTATCTATGCACAATGGATCGGAATACCCACCTTAACCGCAACTTCAATTAGCGCTTCTCAAATCAACCTTTCTTGGGAACGAACAACTAACGCTACCAAATACAACCTTTTTGATGGCACTACCCAAATTGGCGGTGACATTACCGATACAAAGTATTCGCACACAGGATTAGAGGGAGGTTCAACCCACAGCTACACTCTAAAAGCGTGCAATGAAGCAGGATGTTCTGAAGCAAGCAATGCCGTACTTGCCAAAACAAATGAAGCAACCGTTACGGTTACGGAAATACCTAAGATTGGTACAGACAAAAGATTTCACTATGTAGCGTTTAGCATTCAAGCGGACGCTAATTTAACAGATTACACAATGGGGTTGGTATTGAAAACAAATCCTGAAACAAAACCAACAGCTACCGCATTGCGAAGTGGGGCAAGTTTTGTGCGAAATATTTCTACCACAGAAATCAATATGTTGATCCCATACGTTATTAGCTCCACAATTAGAACTACCAATACCACTGATTCAAAATTTAAAATTAAAGGTAGTACAGCAGATGATTTACTGCTTACAGATGACACGACTTACACGCTTTACGGCATGAGAAATGGTTCAGATAACGTGGTAAAATTAGGCGATTTCATTACCAATGATTTTCCTTCTGGTGGCGCTTCTGAAGTTAATTTTAACACGTCTGCACCTGATAACCCTGATTACTTTGAAAAGGGTATTAAAGACAAAATCTTTACACAAAGGATCTCTGATGGAGTCGTTTTTTCACCGCTAATCATATCTCGAGAAAAAATTATACTTACTTCAACATGGAACGTTCTTTCTTTAGTTAACAATCAGACGGATAAAATTTATGCGGTAGTAGAAACAACAGGTGCTGATACTTTGCTATTTATTGACAAAAGCCACGACACAAGATATGATGCGTCCGAACTAAATAATTTTAAAGCAATTATTCCGACAACGAATTACATCGGTACGAAAGATTATACAAGTAGTTTTTATGCACTCTATTTACTTTGGTATTTTAAGGATTCCCATAAAGGCTCAAATGTTCTTTTAAATTTTGCAACCACTGAAGAAACAACTGGAAATCCTCTTTCGATAGATTGCTTTCGCATTTACATAGAGAAATAAGTATCAACTACTTCAGACTATGCCACTAACCCATATCACAAATAACACCGCAACAGACCAAACAAGCGTGTTTGGTCCTAATTGTAGTAATTCCAAGTGGAATTGGAGTAATAACAGGTGTTATTGGAGTAATGTCGATTGACAAAGGAGTAATTGTCATTGACAATGAGGCAATGGGAAGTCCCAATGAGGCAATGGGAAGTCCCAACGTGGCAATGGGAAGTCCCAACGTGGCAATGGGAAGTCCCAACGTGGCAATGGGAAGTCCCAATGTGGCAATGGGAAGTCCCAACGTGGTAATGGGAAGTCCCAACGTGGTAATGGGAAGTCCCAATGTGGTAATGGGAAGTCCCAATGTGGTAATGGGAAGTCCCAATGTGGTAATGGGAAGTCCCAATGTGGTAATGGGAAGTCCCAATGTGGCAATGGGAAGTCCCCACGGAGCAATACAGATTGGTGTTGAACAATTTTTTTAGAAAATTATTATTGAATGTATTCACTTTTTATTAAATTAGCCGTTCTACTTCGGTTTTCCTTTTGATTTATCAGAAGCATTGAATGGGGAGGGAGTTTAGCTCAGTTGGTTAGAGCACACGACTCATAATCGTTAGGTCGTAGGTTCAAGTCCTACAACTCCCACAAATTCAGAAACCTCACAAAGTCATATAAACCCCAGAAGGGGCTTTTTTGTACGCTGTTATATTGTTCACTTTGTTCACTTTGTTTAATTTATTCATTAATTTTTTATATGTAGTTTTAATATGTATGTAATTAAGCGAGATGGTTCTAAGGAAGAAGTTAAAATTGAAAAGATTTTGTACGCTGTTTCACGAGCGTGTAGAGGGATTGACAATGTTGTGCCGATAGAAATAGCAAAGCGTACCATTAATGGTTTGCATGAAGGGAGTACGACAAGTGAATTAGACAATTTATCTATAGAGACGGCTGTAATGCTTACGATGGATGAGCCAAATTATTCAAAAGTAGCGGCGAGGATGTTAACAGAGTCTATATGGAAAGAAGCGGGTCGTGGGTCGGCATTTCGGGATTACATAAAGTTGGTAGACGAGCTTGGTTTAATAGATAACAAAGTAAGAAAATTGGCAGAACATGATATTCAGACGTTAGAATATGCCATAACCCACGAGCGTGACGATCTATTTGAGTATTTTGGATTAAAAACACTTTACGATAGATATCTTCTACGTCACCCTGTGTCCCGTCATGCTATAGAGCGTCCCCAATGGATGTTCATGCGGGTTGCTTTAGGACTTTCAAATACAATAGAAGAAGCGATAGAGTTTTATGACATAATAAGTCAATTAAAATACTTACCTTCAACGCCAACATTATTTAATGCGGGTACGAAGCATCCACAATTAAGTTCATGTTATTTGCTTACGATCGGTGAAGATAGTTTGGAGAGTATTTATAAAGCGTATTCTGATTGCGCTCAACTTTCAAAGTGGTCGGGAGGAATTGGGATTGATTGGACAAGAATAAGGTCATCGGGTAGTTTGATAAAAGGGACGAATGGAAGGAGTAATGGTATTATTCCATTTTTGAAGGTGATGGATTCTTCTGTTCATGCCGTGAATCAAGGGGGGAAACGGAAAGGGGCAGCGGCAATTTATTTGGAGACATGGCATGCGGATATTGAACATTTTTTGGATTTGCGCAATAACACAGGTGCAGAGGAAAGAAGGACGCACAATTTGAATTTGTCTTTGTGGATTAGTGATTTATTTATGAAACGAGTTGAGGCAGGTGAGAAATGGAGTTTGTTTTCCCCTTATGATGTTCCTAAATTATTAGATACTTATGGAGATGAATTTGAAAAAACATATTTAGATTACGAACTGTCTGGAGTTGCAGTTAAGATATTAGAATCACGCGCTCTTTATGCACGAATGATGCAGACACTTGCGGAAACGGGAAATGGGTGGATTTGTTTTAAGGACGTATCCAACATTCGTTCTGCCCAAACAGGAAAAGGGAAAAGTATTATTCATTCGAGCAATTTATGCACCGAGATATTAGAAGTTACGTCGAAGGATGAGGTTGCCGTGTGTAATTTGGGGAGCATAAATTTGGCAATGTTTGTAAATGAAAAGGGTGAGTTAGATTTGAATGGATTAAGGAAAGTAACACGTGTTGCTACTAAGTTTTTGGATAGGGTTATAGATATTAATTTTTACCCAATCCCTGAAGCAAAGCATTCAAATAATAAATGGAGACCTGTTGGGTTAGGCATAATGGGCTTGCAGGATGTTTTTTTCAAGATGCGAATACCTTTTGATAGCGATGAATCTAAGCGAATTTCAACGAGAATTTCAGAGGTTATTTATTATGAAGCACTTAGTACAAGCGTAGAATTAGCGAAAAAGGAGGGGCGTTTTCCTTCGTTTGCGGAATCAAAATATGTAGACAATGTATTGCAATTTGATTTAGCAAAAGGGTATGGTATAGATGTTCCATTGAATGAAGATTGGAATAGATTAAAGAATGAAATAAAAACGCATGGGTTAAAGAATAGTTTATTGATAGCCATAGCGCCAACAGCAACCATAGCTTCGATAGCAGGATGTTATGAATGTATTGAGCCTCAAGTTTCAAACTTGTTTAAGCGAGAAACACTAAGTGGAGAGTTTTTGCAAATTAATAAGTATTTGGTCAAGGACTTAAAATCACTTAATTTGTGGAACTCACTTATTAGAAGCAAGATCATTAACGGAGAGGGGTCTGTTCAGGGTATAAATGAAATTCCAGAGGAAATGCAACAGTTATACAAAACAACGTGGGAGATAAAACAAAAGTCATTAATAGATATGGCGGGAATGCGTTCAGCATTTATTTGTCAGTCACAGTCGCTGAATTTGTTTATTCAAGATCCAACGATAGGGAAACTTTCGTCTATGTATATGTATTTATGGAAAGCAGGGTTAAAGACATCGTATTATTTAAGGTCAAGAGCGAAAACAAGGATTCAAAAGACAACAACGACAGCACCACAGGTTGATTCAAGCAGTGAGAATCGTATAGTTTCTGAATCATTGACGGCTAAGTCTGTTCCAATTTCTAAGCATGTTCAGAAAGTTCAACGTGAGATACCTGTTTTGGAAGCCACAGTGTCTGTATTAAATTTAGGGGAAGGCATTGACGTGGATAAAATAATTTCATGCTCGGTAGAGAATAAAGAAGATTGTGAGGCGTGCCAGTAACAATGAGTTAATCCTAAAAATTAAATAATGAGAGAGAAACTCTTTCAACAGGTTGATTTCAATTCTATTACTAATGACAGTGATTTCAAAGAGGACAGTGTGAGGGAAGTCATCATACTTCCCATTCTCAAAGAACTTGGTTACACAGAAGAAAACATCATCCGAAGTAAGACGTTACAGCACCCTTATTTAAGAATTGGTAGCAAAAGTCGCCCCGTCACTTTAGTTCCAGATTACGTTATTCGAATAGAAAGCAATTTTGCTTTTGTGTTGGATGCAAAAGCCCCCAATCAGAAAATTATTAATGATGAGAATGTGGAACAAGTGTATTGTTACGCAGCACATCCTGAAATACGAAGTACGTATTTTGCACTTTGCAATGGGGTAGAGTTTTCTGTTTATAAGACAACAGATACCAATCAACCCATATTGTTTTTTCGTCTTGAAGCTATTGACTCCCGTTGGGAGGATTTGTTCAAATTACTTTCTTCAAAAAGTTTCCAATCAGGAAAAAACTTTTCATACCAAACAAAAAGCGTCAATCCAAAACGACACGTTGATTTTGATTATGCCACAAGACCTTTATTGGAGGAAATTCAAGTAAAGAAACGAGCGGCGAAACGACACTTTGGAGTTCATGGCTATTTTACAAAGCAAAGTTGGAATGTGGTTAGTGAATATATAAGGAATTTTAGTCAGGAAGGGGATTTAGTTCTTGACCCTTTTGGAGGGAGTGGAGTTACAGCTATTGAAGCTTTGATGAACAATCGAAAAGCGATTAACATTGACATCAATCCGTTAGCTGTATTTATTGTTCAGTCTTTGGTAATGCCGGTCAAACAATATGAATTGGTACATGCTTATGAAGAGGTAAGAAATGAGTATTTGAAAAAGGAGCCAAAAACAAAGAAAGAAATTAAGGAGGTGTTGCAAAAGTACCCACATCCGAATGGTCATCCTTTGCCAAAAGGCTCCGACGTGAAGACGGTAAGCAAGCTATTTAGTGATAAACAAACCGCACAACTTGCTTTACTGAAATCTATCATCCTAAAGCAAAAAAATAAAAGTATTCGTAGCACTTTATTGCTTATGTTTTCAGGACTCGTTACAAAACTTAATTTAACTTACCATAATTCTAAAATTGGTGGAGGGGATGCTGCAGCGTTTAGATATTATCGTTATCGAATTGCACCAGAGCCAACTGAACTTGATTTAATGAAGTATTTTCAGCTTCGTTTTATTAAGGTATGTGCTGCGAAAAAGGAAATAGAGTATTATATCAATGAAAACACCATCTCTAACGCTCAAATTTTGAAGGGAACAGCGACAGACCTGAAATTTATTAAAAAAGAAAGCGTGGATTATATTTACACTGACCCACCTTACGGCAAAAAAATTCCTTACTTAGATTTGTCTGTAATGTGGAACGCATGGTTAGATTTTGATGTTACAAAAAAAGATTATGAACAGGAAGCAATAGAAGGTGGAGAGCACAGTAAGAGCAAAAATCAGTACAATGAATTAATATCACAAAGCATTAAAGAAATGTACCGAGTGTTGAAATTTGACCGATGGATGTCGTTTGTTTTTGCACACAAAGACCCAGAATTTTGGCATTTAATTATTAATACAGCGGAGGGATGCGGTTTTGAATACGTTGGGGCAGTACCACAAAAAAACGGGCAAACAAGTTTCAAAAAAAGACAAAATCCATTTACCGTGTTATCTGGACAATTGATTATTAACTTCAAAAAAATTCGTAATCCACGTGCTATTATGAAAGCCCATCTTGGAATGAATATCTCCGAAATTGTTTTGCAAACTATAGAGGGGCTCATTGCAAAAAATAATGGTGCTACGCTTGAACAAATTAATGACGAACTCATAATCAAAGGTTTGGAATTGGGGTTCTTAGATTTATTGAAAAAGGAGTACAGCGATTTAACCCCTATTTTGCTTGATAACTTTGATTACAACGAAACTACTGAAATGTTTTCCATTCGAAAAAACACAAAATTTAAGACTAATATTGATGTACATTTGCGGATAAAGTATTATTTAATAAGTTATTTGCGGAGAATGGAAAGAGAGAAGAAAGTTGCCCATTTTGACGAGATTGTTTTAGCAATTTTACCTCTACTCAAAAATGGCAATACTCCCGAAGAGCAAACGATACTGAATGTGTTAAATGATGTTGCAGAACGAAGAGGGCAGGACGGGTGGAGAGAAAAGAAAGAAGGACAATTAGTAATATTTGATTAGATTGCAACTCATCAGTAGAAACTGATTTTATAAAAAGGTTTATATTAAGTGATCAATAAATAAATAGTAAAAAAAATAAATTATGTTATTAGATGCAGATTTAGACTTAACGTTGCGACCGATGAAGTACCCACATTTTTTTCAATTATATCGAGA